CGTCCCACCCCCACCACCACCAACACCCACAACTTCTACCAAAGTAAGGAGTCTATGCTGTTCATTTCTCATTCCCTCAATTTAACGAGGATAAAACTTCCGATTCTCTAAGATCAATCTATGTTGCCTTTGTGACTTGAAAGAAATGTTTGTCATGCTCTTATTCTTTTGCCAACATTTTTTCCTGCCCTAATTTTCTTTTCTAGCAAACTGCACTCCGTCGAGGAAAGAAAGCTGCTGCCACAGCTACAGTCGCACCTTCTATAGTAGCTCCGACTAGTAGCATTCCACCTTTGACCAAGGCAGCAGCAAGTACAGTTCCTACACCACCGGACCCAGCAACTTACGGCTTGTCTGGTTTTCCCCCTGCACAGGTTTTTATTTGTTTTGGATTTTACGGATCTACAATAAGTATGTCTGTTGGCTTTCACTGGTCATCATGGTCTTTCAGCCTGGTCACTATGTTTCCTTGCCTGCTGATTTTTCTAACAGCTCTGCGCTCTCCTGGTTTGCGTCCCTTTTTTCTGGACTAGGTGATGGCAGCACTCCTGTAAGTATTTCCAAAATGAATGAAATTTTTCTGAACGATTCTTTTTAGGCGTTCCCTGCTGGAAGTGGCTGCTCAATGCCCATGCCGTCAAACCCTGCTCCCACAATGACGCCTGCAGAGATGAAAGCACGAGTAGAAGCTTTTGAAATGCTCACAAAAACTTCTCCATTTCTCATGCAGTACCAATCCAATATGCCTTTGGTCAATCCATTCGATCCACAAGCACCATTACCTGCGCCCGGTACTAATCCGAATCCAATGTCGTTAGCTGACGTTCCCATCCCCAGTTTTCAAGAGATGCTTACTGGTCCTGATGCCAAACAGGTGCGATTTGTTGTATGTCAGAAATGAGTTATAAATAAAGTTGAATTGACAAACTTGTTGTTTGTTTAACTCATTATATTCAGAATGCACAACAGTTAAGTGAATACATGCGCAAACGATTTGCTGCTCAAACGGCGATGTATGAGAATCTTCCGCAAAGGTTTGATGCCGCAGTCACCGCAGGTTAGTCAAGTTTTCGAACACTTAATAGTATATTTCTCGTATATACATTTTTAGATAATCTATCTATTCCCCGCGCTGCAAGCTTACCTGCTCAGTCTATATCAGCGCCAAGCACACCAGCCACAGGTGCTGGATCGGAAAGGTCCGCATCTTCTGTGGG